CCATTTTATGGTTCGGTAATTTCCCACTCAAGTAATTTCCACTAAGCCAATAAGTCCGACTTTATTCTCGGGCAAAGTTAATCAATCAAATCTGTACTTCACTTACAGCGCTGAAAATTCCTAAGGCACTTCCGATTCGCTATGGGTTGCCTTTTCCCCTTTTCCTCTTTTCGCCCAACTCATCTTTTTCTATCAATTTCTTTCCTATTTCGGGCTTGTGTGTTGTTTGGCTTTGTCAAAAAATGTTTGGAAATTGTCTCTGAGTTTCGGGGGGCATGAACTTTCATAGCTTTGCCAGCAGAAAATTTGTCACGGCGCTTAGTTTTGGTTGGAAAAATCCATCCCACCACCACCCACTGGGTGGCTTTTCCGGCCTTGTATAATAGATTTTTCCGGCTTAGTTTTTAGAGAAAGCACCTTGACATGCCGTATGATAAATGCACATTGCGCTGGCATTCCAAAATTTCAATTAAGTTTCGAAGCGACCCTCGCTGTGACCTTTAAGCGATTTGCCACGGTTGCAACGACGCGTTTTATGAAATTCTAATGATGTTTGACTGATATTTCGCCCACCCCAAAGGATAATGGATGTCCTTTGGCACCCACACACACACACACACACACACAGACATCCACCACTCTTTGCATTTCATGAACTTTGTGGCAATAAAGAAACTTTTGCGTGTTACGTGTGTGCGGCATTATTTTAATTGCCGCTCCTGCTGTTCACTCCCTGTTATTGCTGTAACATTTCGCACGTGACTTTCGGATTTTATGGCTTTTAATTTCACGTATTTAGTTACGGATAATGTTAATTGTATTCCAGGACACGCCTCCATCCCCACAATCGTTTCGGGCCCCCATTGACACATGCGATTCCGGGAGTCTTTTGTCAAAGTTGATACGCCCATCGAGTTCTGGGCAGTTGGAAACAATTGGCAGGCATTCAATTGCATTGGCATCGCAACACCCTAATTACTGGGCGATGATAAGCGCCGATGGCCGATATGACAGGCTATAATGCCGGGATAACCCTGTCAACACAATGGAGGGATTCGGTGTGGATATTTTTGGCATTACACGAAGGACTCTCCTTTCATGGGTATCTTGTTGTGTGTGTTTCTGGAGGGAATAAGCTCTACTAAATATTATTTAATACACCACTATGGTATACTTCGTCGTAAAAAACATAATCTAGAGATTCTTAGATGAATCTTAAATAATGAGAAAAATTTTAAAATGGAACACTATTTTTAACTACAAGACATAAAATGATATTTCATATATTAGGTTTATAAAATCTTTCAATTAAAACGGAGTTATTTTTTTATAAGCAACATATTTTCTTCCTTTTTTTTTTTGTATAGCATCCCTTATTTACAGGGCACCCAAAATGCGATTCGGAACTGCCTTCTACCGATTTTATTACCCCTATGTGTTGTGGCATGCAAATTTAATGATGTCGACGAAGGCAATAAGCCAAAAAGGAGAGTATACTTTCTGGGGGAACGGCGGCGGATTTCGGATTTTAATTATGAAAAGGAGCAGCAGGATCAGGAGCAACACATGCAGGCAAGTGTATGAATAACGATTCGTTTTCGGGAAAGGAAGGACTGAATGGAATGGCTCTCGTTGGACAAATAATAATATGTAATTTTCCGGTCATTGAAACATTTGCACAAATAAGGAAATTGACTGAGCCGTTTGCCCAAATGACTTTGACAGCACGTGTCCGTGTATCTGTATCTGTATCTGTATCTGTATCTGTATCTGTATCTGTATCTGTATCTTTATCTGTATCTGTATCTGTGTGCTTGCATCTCAATCTGTATTTGAGTCCTCCTGCATCGGTGTGTAATTCCAATTTCAGGCTTCAAACACTCCTATTCCAATCTCAATTCCAATTGCAAACTAAACTCTCTGTCTGGGCGATGAATTATGGCTCTGGATGGCGTTTGCTCCATTAGACTCGACCGACTGCTGCCATCCTCAAGTAAATCATTTGAATATTTAAATTAAATCAACTTCAAATTCAACTGCTCCACACACATTCGCTCTCGAATAAATATATAGTTTTGCGGAAGCTAAGCTCTTACTTCTCCTCCATCCCAATCTTTTTCAATCGAAATGACTTTAAGGCGTTAATTATAATGCGAGACACGGGATTTCGAATGGGAACGAGTGGAAGGAAGGCGGCGGCGTGTGTGTGAAATATCATTTTGATGGCTGAAAGTTATGGGCTTTGAGCCAAGATCCGGAATGCAGATTGCGGCGCAAAGATTGTGGGCTAAATCGACGAGTTGCCTCAAGTTCACAACCTTAAATCACTGATTGAATCCATGGCAACTAAATACTTGTAAGCCGCATTAACTATAAAAGCATATAAACCTTTCATTCATTTTAATCGACTAATTGCGGCTGTTGATTAAAAGCTATTACGCTTACACTAATTCATGTTTGCAAATCAAAGCCAGAAGATTTGGTAAATAAAATAATTATGAAGGCATTTCACAGACTAATTAAGATTGCATTTCCACAGTTAAAATCTTTGTCGAATTTGATACGATTTTAAAGTTAACTTTCAATTTAATCAATGCCACACACAGTAACCACAATATTTCTTAAAAATTGTCCAACAATTAAGATGATTTTCTGGCCATAAATTGCAGCCTCGAGGCATTCGAATTCCATTTGCTGGCATAAATAATACAATTTAAATGCACATGAGTAGCTGCTGTCTGCCGAGCAAATGTCATTAGTAATGCGAAATTATTTTGAATTTATTTCGAACGTTTTTGGGGATATGAAAAACGAGCGGGCTCGAGATGAAACGAATAAATCACCGGAAGTCCTCCGACAGTCTGCATCAGCTGGAATTCATTTCTCGGTTCCTCGGACTCCTTTGCTCCACAAAAGATTTCCCCCAAAGTTTCCACAATTTCCACGCAGCTCCCCCGCCGGTTGACTAATTGAAAGTTCGGGGCCAACAGCAGTTTGGGGGAAAAAAACTGGGGGGGAGAGTGCCGGAGAGTCGGCCGCAACAACATTTTGGCAAATGGCAAACATGACGTAAAACATTTTGCCAACAAGCCAAGAAACAAAGTGAAACAATGGCAGCCACTGTGTGAAAAGGTTGCGAATGTAAAGCGAACATAAAGATCGCTCTTAACAAATTGCACGCGTGTCAAAATTAAAACGAATAAATTCTTTATGGCCATACTCGTCGTATAACTTCAAAAATTGTCACAGCGGCGCCTTTTGTCTCCGTTAAAAAGAAAGCCGCAAAATCGCAAGTGGTTGCGAGCGGTGGTTGGGTGGGTGGTGCTGGTGGTGCCGGTCGTGCGGGGAATCCGGGCGGCGGTGCTTATTTACGATGTGGCTCCGTTTCGACTTAGCTTGGATAATTAATTAAAAATCGATAAGAATTTGATTTGGATTTAACGGCTCTGGCTGAGCGGTTGCGAGAATTATGATGCTTAGTCAGCCCGAAAATCCAAAAATCCAAAAAGCCGAAACCCGAAAGCCGAATTCTGAAAGCTGAAAACTGGAAAACCAAAAGCGGTTGCGACAGAATTTCTGGCATTTCAATGACAAACGACAGGCGGCACCCCCTAAAATCGACCACCGCCCACCTGACACCTCCCATCGGGCTCTTTTGTTTTTGTTTACGATACTCGATTCGCAATTAGGTATAAATTTTTTCGAATGCGAATTCCCAGCGGGATGCACAACTTGTACGAGTATAATATATATACTACATACTACCTATATATATGCGGCGGCGATTCTATAAATAGGCGAGCGTTTCGGATTTTGGCCATGTGGTCCACCTGATTTGATTGTTTGCCAATGAAAATGATTGCAGACTATAAATTCGGTTGCTTCCTCCTCTCCTTCTTCCTCTACCATATAATATATATAACCCACATCCGCGATCTTCTATCTGCCGGGTTCTCAATTCGAATACCCCAATTTACATAGTTTGCTCTGAGATGCTACATCTTAATTAAAGGCAATATTCATTAACGAAAGGGATAACTTAAATTCAAAAAAAGTAAATCATAAATAGTTACTAGGGACTCCAGTCTAAAATAAATAATAATAATAAAGATTATATAAAAACTTAACTCCCAAACTATTTAATTGAATTTCTTTGAAGCTAGAAATTTATATTTTGCTTAAAAATCCACGGTATTTAATTCTCGCAAGATTTATCCCCGTGCTTTTTTCTCCTGGAGTCTTTTTCTTATCCGCTGGCTTCGCTTTATTTTTATTGTTTCGATTGGAGAGCGTGAATTTATGGCGGCCATAAATTACATTACAAACAACACACTCGAAACTCGAAGGTCGCCTGGGGACCAGGGCCAAAGGGTTGCCACAGGGGGCTGAAAAGGGGATCAGCGGGGAGGGGGAGGGGGTAGGGTGCTGCCCCAGTTGGATTTCGCTCGGAGCTAATTATTGTAAATTGTGCATTAATCTCGGGAGGAAGAATTTCCGATTTCTCAATCCGCCTACAATCTCGCTGTTTAAATCCAATGATTGCCTTCCTGTGCTTTTTCTTAACATTTAATGTAAGTTAATTAGTAATCATTACTAAAAAGGGTATTTTTCTAGAATTGTGATGCAATCCTGGATTTCAAAAACGCATAACATGAAGAATTATAAACGTTTGTGATAAAGTCCTTAAAAAAGCTGCATTCAAAATTTACCATTTTCCGATGGTCGAAATTTCGACCTCTGTTCATGTCAAATTTTTCCAAGTTTCCAATAGTTTCCCTTTTGGTGACCCAATTTTGCACTTTAAGAAACCATAATTTTGCCAATTTTGATAGGATTAAAATCCTATTGTAGTGGCATACATTTTTCAGTTAGTTCTTAATTTCTTCTTGAATTTAAATTTAAATTTTTCTGTTTATCGTTGTTGAATTTTTTCACCCATTTTTTATCAGAAATTTTCAATAATCTGCTGTTAGATATTGAATTATACTTGTGTGACTTACCTTTGCAGACCTTCCGGTGGGTGAGTGGCTTGGTGGGGTCTCTGTAGAATCCCTCCTTGCACTGGTGGCAATTCCGGCCGGTGGTTGAGTGTCGGCAATTCTGGCAAACGCCGCCGGAGACGCCCTGCGAAAGTCGGAAGATCTCCATGTTGAAGCGGCACTGGCGGGCGTGCTTGTTGCAGTTGCACTCTGCGAAAGACACAAGACAAGACAAAGTTCGCATGAGAAAAGATACATCTGGCAGATACGTATTCCTTAAGTTCTAGCTACCCGCTTTCAACGACTTAATCGACGCCTTCGATTTGGCGATTGCCCAATGCGATAAATGGGAAAAAAATGGCACGCAAAATGGTTTGTCCAGGCAATGGCTCGATTTAGAGTTGGAGTGGGCTGGAATGGGGAAATGGGTCTGAGATTGGCGGTTGTGGATGGGCGCGCTATTTGTCTAGCGGGACATTGGCTTAGGCTGGATAATTTATGCGTCGATTTGTTTTGAATTACTTACTCAAAACCAGGGTCTCTGGAATAAATGCTGCGGCTTTCACCCTCGAAAATGGGGAGTTAAACCAATAAAGGGGAAACTGTGGCCCCTCAATTTGTTAATTTATTTATTATTCAATCAAAGTGATTTATTTTGCTGACTGTTCTAATATTACCATAAAACAAATTTATTCATATTTTAGTTTAGGAACACTAACAAAAAATTGGCTAGAAATTATTAGGAAGTAGAGTATTTATGGTAAGTTCTGTTTGGTCGTTCAAGGAATAGGTAAATATTCAATTCGATCTCTAAAGACCTGAGGCTTCTTTGCTTATTCGTTGTCGCCTGCTGCTTGTTATGCTTTTGGCAAACAGTTTTGCTATTGACATTCGATGGCGACTGCTGCGGTTATTGCTGCTTGCCATTGGTACACAGAGAGAAATAATGGGTTGAGAAACAAGGAGTAAAGAGATAATAAAATTAATTTTAAAAATATTTAATGTAAATAAAAATATATATTACACTGTGCGACAAAATTTAACGAAATGTTTGTTTGAGTTACTTTTTTGATTGTTTTCGGTTAAGGGGCATAAGTTATGCACAAAAATATTTATGCCACCTTCTAAGTGATAGGATTTCTTTTTTTATGATACATTTTATGAAATTATTATTATGAAAATATTTAACTCAAAATATTATTATTTTTTTTACTTCCAATAAACTATTACTTTTTTTAAAAGTGAAATTTTTTTCTGATTTTTTTGGCTTTTTCAGAGGTATCCTCGCGTAACAAGTTCCATACGAAGTCGCCCAGAGTATAGAGCTGGGCGAAAAAAATTTTAAAGCATTGTTATAAAAGCCTCACGGTATATTTGCTTAATACATTTTAATTAATAGATATTGAACTTGCATTAACGCTTATAACGGTGAAAAAATATTTTCCCAATATGGTATTATAAGGCTGTGAAATATGCAAAAACACGCGTTTTTGGGATCTTTGAGTGTGCGTAGAAGCTGATTGGCTATTGATATTAACAAATCCAAAAACTTGTATTCTTATTTTGACTAGTAGAAGTGGAAAATAAGAAAAAATCAACTCAAACATTTTTTTGTCGCACAGTGTTATATATTGTGTAAGAAACTGTGTAAAATTGCAAACCTAGTTTATTATTGAATCATATTTCATATTTTAAAAAAATTTTTTAAATTCAGATAAAGAAGACATACTTTTTTTTAAATAATTCAACTATCATTAAACAAAATATATATTATATATTTAACTATTCGATTTTTCAATTTTGTTCTATTGAAGATATTAACAAGGACTAGGAACTTTCCCCGAAAGTACCCCTTGGATTTCTCTCAGTGCACAGTAGCTACTGCTGAGTCGGCATCTTTCGCCTGCGGTTTTAGACGCCGAAGGAATTGCAGACGGCAGCGAGCGGACAGGACAGAACGGGACGGGAAAGGACAGCTGACCTGTCAAAGGCAAAAGGCCACGAATCCTTCTGCTGCTGCAGATTTTGCTTGCGGCTAGACAAAAACTTGAAGCGCCTCCGCCGCTATTGTCCGTGGTTCGAGGGTCCACTGTCTGCCATTTTTGTGCCATCGACAGACGCGTCACTGCAGCTTCATTTCGCAGTTCGCAGTTCGCAGTTCGCCTTGGTTCTGGGCACACATGTTATAATTATCGTTCGCAGTGGCAGACAAGGCGACTCTCGACTCCACTTTCACTCCACTCTCACTGGAGCCACTGGGTCTCAATGCCGCATGCCCCACACACTTTATACTCCACACTCCATGCCCCAATCTCCAATCTGTCCTCATGCCAGCCGCAGACAAACTTATGTCAGCGCAAATATTTGAACGCAGTCAGAGACTGGCGCATTCAATCACTCGAAATAAAATATAGGACATAAGAAAATATGATTAGAAATTCCCTATAAATATAATATTCCAATTATGCCGCTAAATGTAAACATTCAGCTTAACATATTAAATTATGTATTACAATTATGGTGATTTCAATTATTTTCCATAATAATATAAAATTTTTATGGTATATTTTCATGGCATAAATGCTTATGAATATTTAAAAAAGTTATACTTTTAAATATGATAATTTTCTATGTTAAAAAAACTGTTCAAAATAGAAGAATAAAATCGTATTAATCGGATTAATCCTTTTTACATTTTTAAATAGTTATTTATTCTAAACAAGCCTCCTTTTTCAAGAAGAAAATATTTCCTAAGTAAGAAACCCAAAGCACCTTTACTTGTGATTATTTCCCACAATGGGACTGTGCATTTTGTTGCAGTGCAGTCGGAGGAGCAGTCGGAGACCGTTGTAGAAGAATCGTCAACAAAAGCTAGGCAAATATTTGGAAAACGCAGAGCTGAAAGCACGGCGTGTGGCTAATTGACAAGCTGCCAGGCTACCGGAGAGGAGCCTCCCCACTTCCGCCCGGGAAAAAAAGGGTTCGGCTCGGTGTTAAAAATGCTAGATAATTAATTTTAATGACACACTTACGACCTGCGACTCGCGACTCGCGACTGCCGGCGAATGCCACTTGATTTATGGCCTTTGGCCATAAGATTTTCGTTCGTTTGTTTTCCTTCTTCGGTTTTTTTTTTCGGGGCCATGTAAATTTCAGTTCGACGATTACAAAATGCCCATCCAGCTCAATCAAATGCGACTTAAAGCGATGCATAAAACCGCTCATTAGCCGGACCCCAAGCTGCCGTGTTATCCGAGAAAGGTGAGTCCAGTAATTAAGTTCAAATTTGATAAGTGGCCCTCAAACACTCTCACACTCCCCAAAAAAAATCGATGGATGGATGGTTGGATTTGTTGGTTTTTTTTTTCGTTCGTTGGTTGGGGAGACAATGAAATCGTCAGTATCCGTATCTGAATATCTGTATCTTTGTCGCAGTTGCAGTCGCAGTGGCTGCATCGCGACAGCCTCGAAATTAACTGCCTGGGAGAGTTTCCAATAAAAACATTTTTAGGCCGCTTAACTTTCAACTCGAATTAGTCACCCGGCTAAGAAAAGAAAAAACATGGTTTTTGACAGGGAAAGCGGCCAAGGAATGTTGGTAGAAGAAAAGGATAACGCCAGCAGTGTAAATATATAAAATATAAAAACCACTCAATAAATATAAAACAATTTATATTAATACTCTGATTTTATATATTAATAAAATAAGGATTTGTTTTATCAATTTCCGTAAAAATGCTTTTATTTTCTAATAAGCTCTGTAAAGCTAATGAAAAGTATTTATTTATACAATTCTTTATAAATTTGTAGTCAATACCTATTTTAAAACCGGATATACAACCACATTTCTGGAGTAGGAATACTTTTCCCTGCAATTGATATCTCGCAAAGACCTGAGCTCTTCTTTTCCACTGAGCTTGAGTTGATTTTTTCCCCGCTCGAGAAATCGTAAATTGAATGGCTACTGTTTCCGGTTCTCCATTCGTGTTGACACAGTGCAACGCCAGCGGAGTTATGAATGGAGCCCTTTGATATCTGGCCAATCCACAACGGCTGTGCATCTCTAATTAACTGCCGCAGAGTTCGAGTCGAATGTTTTTTTTTTTTTTGTCCAACCGCTCTGGGGACTTGGGTTCCTCTTTCTGTTTTCTGTTTTCTGGCTTTGGCTTTGGCTTTTGGATCTGGCCAGGAGCAGATTTGGCCAAGCTTAGCAGCTCAGAATTGGCCAGAGCCGCTGCAGCGAAGACCGTTGATAAATCGTCGGAAAGCTTTCGCTTTGGCCACTGCCCAAACAAACCAAAACATTTTGGATTCGTCCGAACCAAACCAAACGAAACCAAACCAAGCCAGGCCAAAGCAAACCAAATGCAAACCAACCAAAAGCCAGTCCAACGTTACGCTTTTGAGTTGGCCTCGAGTACTAGGTTTATGGAGGAATACTTTTCACATTTGGATATTTACATTTTTTCATAAGAAAAGCAATCGAAAACAGCTACAGTTTCTAATCAATTATTTAAAATAAAAAAAGATTTAATATACCTTTTTCTCTTCAAGCTAACAGCGGATAAAATATTCTAAAAATTGTATAAAATAATTTGGTTAGGAATAAGATTGTAAATTAATACTGAAAGTACAATCCTGAATCAATGGTTTTTCTCCTTTTTTGTTTGCGAATTTAATTAAAAGACGAGTATCCAGTTGTAAAAAATTAATGTCTTAGCACTTTAAAAATAGCATACTCCCCTCTTTCACTCATTAAACCATACAACCTAAACCTTAATTTATTTTTTTTATTTACAGAAGACAGTTAAAACAACTCTTAAATTGCTCCACAAAAATCTATCTTTCAATCACGAAATGATTTTGCAGAAAGAACCTCGCATGAACGCAGCATCCGTTGATGGGTTTTTATCCCCCCTTTTTTTCAGGGGAAAGGGGAGGGGGAGGGGTTGGCTGGTTGGCTGGGGAAAGGGGGTTGTGTTTGGGGCTTTTCCTTGTCCATGTCCTGGCTGAGAGTTTTCAATTTTCCTCGCTCGACCCCTCATCGTTGCTGGTCGTTGTCGACATTTCATCGTTTTATGATTGATTGCGTTCGCCTCGCAGTGATTTTCGGTAACCGAAAATTGTGAATTGAATTCGTGGCAGAGGCGGTGGCAAAAGGGGAGGGAAGGGGGGGCTGAAAAACGATGGGGACTCCCCCGGAAAGAGGG